TAGTCACGGTTCAAAATGAGTCTTATTTGTCTCATGCTGGGGGGCTCACTGTCTGAAACAAGCTGTTTTAGCTGCTCTCCCTTTAAGGTCACCCTCCCTTTTTTTTGAACCAGCCCATATTATATATAGACTGTATATACACTTTAGATTCATTGTATAGTACAATTATGACAACCGAGGCTTTGCTGTTTGAAAGACAGATATTTGACGTAGAGGTGGCGTCTAGAGGTTGTTGGTCTAAATTGTCAAACAGAAAGTGAAACTATGCTTCTGTTAAGACACATGGCTTTCTATCATTTATAACTGTTCTCAGTTACTTTCCTCTTAGGTCTTTAACCAGATATGACATCATTATTATTCCACTCATTATTACTACAATGTCAAACTGTAACCATAGTAGAGTCCTGTAGTTACAATGGGCCTCCAGCACACTTGTTGTTAGTCATAGATTTGTAGCCGATTTAATGTTATAAAACCAGCACAACAAGTTCATATCAGTCAGTAATAAATCTAACTCATCATGCCTTCTACTCAGAAGCTATTTGGTCATTTTTAGGTTACATATTTGGTGAGTTTGTGGTCAGCTGTCCATACAATGAGTCTCACTTTGCCACAGAACATAACAGAAAAACCATATGACTACTTTCTCTTTAACACTGGAATTTTACTGGCCAGCAACGCTGTGGTGGGGGAAGATGACCTGTGGGTACGTGTCTTTGCACTGGTTTGTGTCTGTACATGAATATTTGCAGCTTCACCTAGTTTGGTGGTGAAATGAGCAAAATTGTAATATACGCAAGTTTTCCCACATTTTTAAGCATGCAAAAATCTATTACACTGGAAAAACATCTCATTAATATTTGAATAACTTGGTTTTTCTCCCAGTTTTAATCATTTCTCCTAAATTTATGTAGGTTTGAGTGTGCCCGTTTCAGGTAACATAAAATTCAAATTCAAATTTTATTTGTCACACACACACAACCATACACAGTATGACATGGGGGTGAAATGCTTGTAGCTGTACAATGCCCGACCATTAAATGACAGAAGAAAAGTTTTACAATATTTACAATTTACTACAAAAATTTACAAATTAACTTAGGAATTTACAGTAAAGAATGTGCAAATAGCAGAAGAGATTATAAAGATAAGGATTATAAATTATAGGAATTATAGGATTATAGGAAATGTGTGGTGGTGCGTGTGGTGACGTGTGTGAGAGTCCAGTCTTATAGTGACGTGTTGGGAGAGTCCAGTCCTACACCTGGTTCAGGCCCCGAATAGCCTGGGGGAAGAAGCTCCTCTTCATTCTCTCTGTTTTGGCCTTAAGGGAGCGAAAGCGCTTCCCAGACCTCAACAGTGAGAAGAGTCCATTGTTGGGATGGGAGAGGTCCATTATAATCTTCCTAGCTTTGGACTTGCACCGCTTGGTGTAGATGGACAGCAGGTCAGGGAGCTCTGATTGAATGATGCGTTCTGCCAAGCGCACCACCCTTTTCAGATCTCGTCTGTCCTGCTTGGTGCTGTTCCCAAACCAGGTGCAGATGTTTGACATCAGGATGCTCTCGATGGTGCAGGAGTAGAAGTTCTTGAGCACCTTCAGTGGCAGATGGAAGTCTCTAAGTCTTCTGAGGAAGAAGAGACGCTGACGGGCTTTCTTAACCAGAGTGTTGATGTGACAGGACCATGACAGGTCCTGAGTGATGTGGACACCCAGGTATCGGAAACTGTCCACTCTCTCCACTGGCGTGCCACTGATGATGAGGGGTTTGTAATTCCTCGCCTGCTTTGTAGTGAAGTCCACGATCAGCTCCTTAGTCTTGCTGATGTTTAGGAGGAGGTTATTCTCCTGGCACCAGGTCTCCAGGTTCCTAATCTCCTCCAGGTAGGCCGTCTCGATGTTGTCGGAGATCAGGCCCACAACAGCAGTGTCGTCAGCAAACTTGACAATGGAGGTGGTGTCGGATGTGGCTACACAGTCATAAGTGTACAGTGAGTACAGCAGGGGGCTTAAAACACAGCCCTGAGGCACTCCAGTGCTGAGTGAGATGGAGGGGGAGACTTGTTTTCCTACCCTCACTGATTGGGGTCTGTCTGTGAGGAAGTTGAGGATCCACTGACACAGTGATGAGCTGAGTCCTAGATCCGTCAACTTGGTGAAAAGCTTAGAGGGAATTATTGTGTTGAATGCTGAACTGTAGTCCACGAACAGCATCCTAACATAATTCCCTCTGCCAGTGTCCAGGTGACTCAGGGATGTGTGGAGCAGGTGAGATATGGCATCGTCTGTGGAACGATTAGTCCGGTAAGCAAACTGAAGTGAGTCGATGGTGGGAGGAAGTGAAGAAGTGATGTGATCTCTCATCAGTCTTTCAAAACACTTCATCACAATTGAAGTCAGTGCTACTGGACGGTTGTCATTGTGGCAAGCGGGCTGTTGTTTCTTTGGAACAGGGACAATAATGGACCGTTTGAAGCACGTGGGAACCACAGCTTGGGCCAGGGAGAGGTTGAAGATCTCCGTGAACACCGGTGCTAGTTGATCAGCGCAGGCTCTAAGGACCCGGCCAGGGATTGCATCTGGTCCTGCTGCCTTCCTGGTGTTCACCCTCCTGAAGGTGTTCCTCACGGCATGCTCTGTGATGACGAATGCATTTTCTTCACTGGTGCACTCCGAGCGCGCACAGCCGTTTGTTGTTTTAATTGCTGCGGCGTCGAAGCGAGCATAAAACGTGTTCAGCTCATCAGCCAGTGAAGCATCTGCATTCATCATTGAAGAAGCTGGTCGTTTATAGTCCGTTATAGTCCGCAGTCCTTTCCACAGGCTCCTAGAGTCGCACTGTCGTAGCTGTGACTCTAGTTTTTCCCCGTAGCTCCGCTTTGCCTTTCGGACCGCGCTGCGCACGTTGTAGGACGCAGCCTTGTATAGGTCCATATTACCAGAGACAAGCCCTTCATTGTAGGCAGCGGTGCGTGATCTCAGAGCGTTGCGGATGTTTTTCTCCACCCACGGCTTCTGGTTGGGAAACGTTCGGATGATAGTTCTTTCTGCTGTGTCGTCCGCTAGTTTCCCGATAAATCCCACAACCGCTTCCGTAAACATGTTGATGTCATCAGAGCTGCGCCGAAACATGTCCCAGTCTGCGTCATCCAGTGCGTCCTGCAGCGCGGCCACCGATTGGTCCGTCCAGCGAGCGACCTCCCTCCTGATTGGTGGTTGCTGCTTTAGCCTTTGTTTGTAAGCAGGTATGAGGAAGATGGCGGAATGGTCCGATTTTCCAAATGCCGGCAGGGGCTGAGCCTTGTAACAGTTCTTGAACGGGGTGTAGCAGTGGTCTAATGTCCTCGTGCCCCGGGTGGGGCAGTTGATGTGCTGGTGAAGGTTGTGAAATGTCCGTTTGAGATTCACTCTGTTAAAATCTCCCATAACAATGAGTGCGGCATCTCGGTGAAGTGTTTGTTGATGTGTGAGAGCCTCATGTAGCTCACATAAGGCAGTGTCCGAGTCCGCGTGAGGCGGAATGTAAACAGTGCAGGCAATGACCGCAGTGAATTCCCGAGGGAGATAGAAAGGGCGACACTTAACGATCAAAAGCTCCAGATTGGGCGAGCAAGAGCGTGTGAGTGGGGAGATGTTTGTGCTGTCGCACCATCTGTTGTTCACCATCAAACACACTCCACCACCTCTTTTCTTCCCCGACTCCATTGTCCTGTCCATGCGGTAAACCGAAAAGAACCCCGTCGGCTGCACGGCGTGGTCTGGTATCGCTGGGTTCAGCCAAGTCTCGGTGAAGCAGAGGAGGTTGCAGTCCCGAATGTCTCTCTGGAACTTGATTCTGGCTCTGAGGTCATCAAGCTTGTTCTCGATGGATTGAACATTGGCTAGCAGGATACTGGGCATGGGTGCGCGGTGTGCGCGAGCCCGTAGCCTGTTCCTGATGCCGGCTCTTTTACCTCGAGGCCGTCGCTTAGGGTCGCGTCCTTTGTTCTCTCTCAGGATCTCCTTTGGCCAGGTTGGGTCCGGAGTTAAACATGGTGAAATGTTCGTGTACTGCAGACCAATAGAAACCAAAGTGTCTCTACTGTAGCGGATTTGTGTGTTTTGCATGATGCCCATGCAAGATTATCGCAGATATAGCAAAAAGTGACGAAAAACTGCAAAAAGTGGAGAAGTTAGGGCAGAGCATCCAGCACGGCAGCCGACCTCACCGGCGCCATTTTGTACCATTTTGTACATTTTGTAAAATTGATATCGCGCATGTTTCCTCGCGAGACTTGCGTATTTCTTTAATAACATGGCTTGATTTATGGTTAACTTGACCACGTTACATCGACTGGACATATTAAGTGGGTGTGGTGGAGCGTAGGGGGCAACTGCAGGCACACCTGGGGGTCATAAAATTGTAACCCTCCTGGATGGATCGCTGTAGAGTGAATCAACAAGAAATCCTTCATAACAACAGTCTCGTAGATAGTGATTTACCTCATCGTTAAAATGAAACAGTAGAAGAGTTTTAAATATATTTTTAGAATTATTTTATTAAAAATGTTCTAGTATTGACTCAATTTGATCTTTATTAATATGTATTTGTTTATTTTTGGATCACTGTCCCTGTATGGTCGAGGGTAGACCTCAGTAATCTAAACCCTGAGTGATATGGATCTATCTGCCAGTGTGATGCCCCTCCTTTTTCTCTCTTACTCCCTCTCATGCACACTTTTTGCTGCTAACACTGAGCGGGAGAGGACTGGAACATTGAGTACCTTCAGCACATTTTTCACATTCCCCTTTGAGGGTCTCAACTACAGCCCCCACTGCATGCACACACTTCAGCATACACAACCACTCGTGTTTCTCACCAGTGGGCATTAATGGTATTGTCATATGTTTTGTCTGTACCACCAATTGAGGACACATCAATCTTGACACGTGCTTGTCAAAACTGTGTGTCATGTTTATTTTGGTCATTATACTAACCTGCACCTTTTCCTCTCTCCAGCAGCGGTGGTTGTGTGTGAGTGTGTGGTTGAGCTGCAGCTGCGAACATGACGGAGTATAAGCTGGTGGTGGTGGGAGCTGGAGGCGTGGGCAAGAGTGCACTTACCATACAGCTGATCCAGAACCACTTTGTGGATGAATATGACCCCACAATAGAGGTATGACGTGCTTCTACGTGTTCTGTACATTATTCCTGCAGCAGTTATCTTTAGATAAAGTATTTCCCCTTGAACTGTTGTGTGCTTCTGCGACATTCTTTAAAATGGTTCATGTGCAGTCTTTGCGTAATTAGATGTTTTATATAAATGTCCAACCACACAGTCTAAACCAAGTTACTTTAATTAATTAACTTCTGTGGCAATCCTCCAAATGACAAGGCTTGAAAGAAATCCATAATTTCAGAAAAGAGAAAAGCATTTTCTCCACCTTTTACTCAATATTTTCCTGAGGAAAAAGACACTGGAATATATTGCAGAGCAAAGAGGAAGGCCAGTGAGAATGTCTTCTCCTGTCTTTTCTCCCCTTTTTCTCCCTCTCTATCCCTCTCTTTCTCACCACGCCTGCCTCTGGCCAGACAATGTCCTTTTTGTGTATTTGCATTCCTGGCCCCTATGCTCTAACAAACAAAGGGACAGCACTCCCATGTTTTTGTGACTGCATGTTGGAAGGCTAAACATTGGCTCTGATACCCTGCTCCTCTGATCTCTTGATTTTCATTTGACCTGAAAGTGAGGAGGGAATTTAACAAAGTAACCTAAGTTGATTACAGTCAAATCAAATCAAATCAAATCAAATTCAAATCAAATTCAAATTTTATTTGTCACGTACACAGTCATACACAGTACGATATGTAGTGAAATGCTTGGACAACTGCTCGTGACCTAAAGAAAACAAAAAAGGAAAAGGCTATGAATAAGATAGGAAATAAATATGAAAAATTAAAAAGGGTAAATTTAACTAAGAAGGAATAAAATATAAATTAAGGTTAAAAATGAAATAACTGTACAACACAAATTAGAATGAAGGGTAAATTTAACTGGGAAGAATAAGATAAAATATATAAATTAAAGTTGAAAATAAAATAACTGTACAACAAAATACACAATATAGAACTATATAAGAATGTATGAAGAAAGCAACATTCAGTCACTGACATAGTGTCCCTATAGTATATTTCTTTGCCCTGAGTGACCCAGGGTAAGAATCTGCAATGGACCACCGGTTACATTAAGGTGAACTATCAGTTTTGTGTGATGTCTTTAGCACTTCTCTAAAAGTGCAAGTTTGTCTTTTTCTGCAGGACTCATACAGGAAGCAGGTTGTGATCGACGGGGAGACCTGCCTGTTGGACATCCTGGACACTGCAGGTCAAGAGGAGTACAGCGCCATGAGGGATCAGTACATGAGGACGGGGGAGGGCTTCCTGTGTGTCTTCGCCATCAACAATACCAAGTCTTTTGAGGACATTCACCAGTATAGGTGTGTCTAAGAGTAATGCAAAGAAAGAGAACTGGAAAATGTGCACCTCTGTATTTCTTGGCCAGACCGTAGGCCTGTTGGGGTGGAGCTCCGGTGCTAAATCATGTCTGTTAGCTTCTCTGGATGTGCATATGCAGTGTGTGTTAGAGGGACTCCCGTGGGGTCTGCAGGAAAAGGGCTTTATATACGTGTGTGCCAGCTCTCTGCAGTACTTGATGATGTCATGCTGTAGCGTTTAACACGGCTAAAGAAAGCTTAGCTCCCAACTGGAGGCTTACAGCACGATGCCAATGAAATCGATCCTGACTCAATTAGAGAAGCAGGGAGAGGTAGCGCTCCCAAGGACAGGGAAGGAGAAAGGGAGGGTGGGGGTGAGAGTTTCAGCTGGAAGTGACAGTGTTTTCTCTCTTTGCCACATTTTTTCTTTCTCATCACATTAGGCATCCACTTGCTGGTCTTGCATGAGGCTACACTTTAAGTCACAGGTTTCCAGAGTGTGTAAATGTACATTTGTTTGGCCTGTTGCCATTGCAACTCAGCTGTTTTGGACCCTGCTTTAGCATAACTGCTCTTAAACCATACAGGTATGCAGTGCACTTTGGCTCAGTGCCCAGTTAAATGTTTTGAGTTATCTAGACATCTGCTGCCTGTATTTACAGGCAACAATTGTTTGTGACAAGAAATAAAACCCACAAAAACTTTCCCCCCCACTATCAGTGCTGACTAGCGCTACATGGCAGAGCAGTGTTCATCCATGTACAAAAACACCAAATAAAGACCAATCCACAACTCTTTAAAGCTAAACTTTAAGCACTCGCCTTAATACCAGGTATACAAGTATCTGTGGTTTGATAGGGTAACTTGTTTGCTTTGACATCAAAACTCAGAGCAAGTGTTGTCATAATTACCATTGGCAGTATTGACTGCAGATGGGTTTGGCTGACTGTACTGCAGGCTATACTGGGGCTGATTGAGAAGAAAGGCTGGGCTGATGGAGTGATCTGACCCTCTCCTCTCACTCAGTCCCCCCTGGCTGCATGGCATTTGGCACTTGCTGCTGTAGTGATGAGGTAATGCTGTTTGCCGCCTGCCTGTTGTCCACCCACCCACCCACTCTCCCTCCTTCAGCAGTGCAGCACAGCCCAGCACCGGTAGGCACTAGCTCTTCCTCTGGGTCCTAAAGTTCCCCGGGTGGTTGGTTCTCCAGGGGTGGAGCTGTTGATGATGCTGGGAGGATCTCAGCCAACAGACATGTAACTGTGGCTAAATAAAGTGCTTGGATGTATCAAGGAACAAAAATAATAATAAGGAAATGAAATAAACTAAATTTTCAATTTTCTTGTTTTGCAACGCAGAGAACAGATTAAGCGTGTTAAGGATTCCGATGATGTTCCCATGGTCCTTGTGGGAAACAAATGTGACCTCCCTGCGCGCACGGTGGACACGAGGCAAGCCCATGAGCTCGCTCGCTCCTATGGCATCCCCTACATTGAGACCTCTGCCAAAACACGGCAGGTAAGCAGTTTACATAAAGTAAGGAGCAACATAAAGTTTTTCCGCAGAGGAATACTTTTCTCGTGTCCTGCCTCTTTTATTGGTGTTTGAATCTTTAAAATTCCTCATATGCTAATTTTGCTGCATCATTATGTTATCTGCAGGTTATGTCAGTGTTCTTATTTAGGCTGTGTAATTTCACATTTTGCAAAAATATTCATGCGCATCTTACAGCAGACCATGCGCTATGATGTGATTTGTGTTGCTGGGAACATTTTATTATGCTGCAGGCAGTGACTCATAGCCAGGTTACCTTGGCTTGAGAACAGAGCTACAGTATTTGAAAGGGCTCATAAGGACCAGTTGCCTCACAGCTCCCACTGTCTGTGACTCACTGTGACACATTATGTAGGTACATACATACTCGCATTCATCGCTACACCTGCAGAATATCTGTCACTCAAAAGGAAATGCAAGAAGTAAAGAAATGCAGTCTTTTTAGTCATCATGATTTCTTGACAACGTATTTAATAATTCTCAGTGCACGCAATGATTAAGGTTGTCATGGTAATGTTGCCAATTGGTGAGCACACCTAAAAGCTTTGCTGTCAATCAGAAGACGTGCATTTAATATGGGAGCCTTGAAAGGGAGTGTTTTAAGTGCCTGGATTTTTCTGTATGTCTGTGTGTTTGCGTGTGTTTACAGGGAGTAGAGGACGCCTTCTACACACTGGTTAGAGAGATCAGGCAGCATAAGTTGAGGAAGTTGAACCCACCCGATGAGAGTGGTCAAGACTGTATGAGCTGTCGCTGTGTGGTGTCGTGATGCAGGTGAGAAATTATATACACAGTAATGGTCACCAAATCAGTTTGCAAAGCTAAGTTGTGAATGCATGGAATGATGGAATTCACTGGCTTTGGGGAAGGTTTACCTTTAAAGGGACATATCATTACAAGTTAATACAAAGTTGTTCACCTTTATCCTGTTAGGGTGGGAGCTGGCCTCTTCCAAGCCCCCAACCATAGAGTACAAGCAGCCACTGATTGATGAGTATGAAAATGATGTTATATGCTATTGTAACTGAACATGTAAGGGAGATTTTGGACTGATATGTTAGGTAGCACCAGAGTCACACATAAATTTTGGAAATATTTTCTCAGAGCTCCAGAGCCTGAGCGATCAAAGCACATGGTAGCCCAAAGCTCTATTGCAGGGGTATCAAAAATACAGCCCAGGGGCCAGAACTCACCCACCAAAGACTCCGATCTGGCCCACAGGACAGCTTTGGAAAGGCCATATATTTTGAAGTTTTACCATTTTTCCTTCCGATAAAAAACTTCATATTACACTAAAGTAATTAACAAATAGGTGAGCATTTAAATAAGAAAATGTCTATGATTTTTCACCATCTACAATATAAAATTCCATTGTAGATAGTCCTTTTACAATAAAAAAGGCAATGAGCTACTTTTTCTGTAATTTGATACATTTATTACTTATAATTTAGTCCCAAAGAGTCATGCTGACAGATTTCTTCCATTTACTATAGAATTATTTCTTTATCATGCAGAGAAACTGAGACATAGTACTTGCAATGGCAGAAAGGGGTGCGTGCTTCACTGGTCTGGCCCACTTAAGGTCAAACATGGAAAATGAGCTTGATATCTCTGTTCTGTTGGTTTCACCATTCATTTGTTGACCACCTGTAACTCTGTGTAGATGATGCTCATTGTAAAAAAAAAAAAGCACTTTTGAAACAATCTGAGTTTTAAAACTTTAATTATATCTTGTGTCACTTTCTTTGCCCAGCTCACTGCTACATGTTGAGAAACGCTACGGCACAAAGTGGCAGCATGGACTTAAGGACTGGAAGATGAAACAACCCAACGATGAAAACAAAAACTTTTCCAACAAAAGGATGATTGAAACAAAAGCCCTGACAGAAACCATCAGGGCTGACTGAACTATAGACTTGTATGGAAAGGGGAATATTGGACTGTTGCCTAAGTGGCTAGCGGAACTAGACTGGTCCAGCCCCATCTTTTTTGTTGGTCCACATCGACCTGTGAGCAACACCACTAATGACTCTTTGTCAGCTGCAATGTGGCATCGCTGGGTAGCTCCACAACTTTCCTGCTAACTTATTGTTTTCAGTCTCAACACTGGTAATTGGGGGGGCGGGTATCTCACCTCCGCCCTCCTTAAAAGCCTGATTCCACTCCCCATCCCCCACCTAGCTGCTGGAAGGAATGAGTGACTTCAGTGGAAAGAACTGGAATTGACTTTTAGTTAACCCAACACCTCTCATGCTACCCCATCCCATTCCCGCTTCACCCTACCTGCCTTTGGTTTCTTTTGAATGGCAATGAAATCCCTGCGCTCTAACTGGATACAGGGGGTGGATGCTGACATGGGAAAGACTGTATTTTTTGTTGTTTATCAATTAGCCTACCTGTAAAATAACAAAAAAAAAAACAACTTTGATTTTTGTATTTGATATGAAACATTTATTTTTGATTGGCAGTTTTGAAAGTGCTTATTTCAGCTGGCACCTGGTTTGACATTTTTTTGACCTGCCTGAGGTAGTTGAAGATCCTTTTAGACTAGATCTCTTGAATGGAGAATTTCTAGATAGATGGCTTACCGCTGCCTTCTCTCTTTACAGATGTTTCATTGCGAGTCGTCTTGTGGAATAATAATAGTAATGGTTAGTGTACGTAGATTCTGGTGCAATAGAATAATTTACTTTCCAAATTACAAAGTATTGGGAATATACCCTCTGTCATGACTACTTATTTTTCTGCTTTACTTTTTGTTTAAGAAGGAGAGGTACCGTGCATGAAAATGTAGTTGTTGTTATCTTTGCAGTTGCAAAAGCACGATAGGTTGCCTGTAGAATGGGATAAATACCTTAAAGTTGGCAGCGAGTCGATTAAAAAAAAACAAAACAGCAATGCAAAAAGTCTCTGCATTTCATTTTAGTAGCTGTATGGTGTACAACAGCTATTTTTAGATTGCAAGAATCACTCCTTGTGGACGAAAAGGCTCAGGAATTGGTGTCCCGGAGGATATCTATCAGTCCAGGAAACCAGGGTTAATAGATGTCATAAGTTAGTTTTTGCAAAGTGTAATGCACAAGTCCTGCCTCAGAGTAAAACTTCAGTTTTTCCACACACCAGACTATCCTCACACTGCTCTGCTTTATCTGCCACTTTCAGCTTTTCAAAGGAACAATATCAAGTCAGGTGCTAGTCATGTCAGAACCATATTTACTGTATATGTGGGACTATTGTGTGTAACAGGTGTAAGGAGCGGGATATGGGAGTGCATTGTTTTGTGTTTCTTATTACAGACAGGCTTGTGCGCTCCGTAACCGGATTAATTTGCTGCCTGAATAAAAAGACTGATGTGTGTTTACTTTGCCTTATCTGTTAGCTAGGTCGTACCTCATGTGTGCAGCGAGATGGTCATCTGTTCAGTTTGCTGAATTGTTTGTTTGTTTGTTTGTTTTAACTATGTGTGCAAAAAAAAAAAGACACGAGTGTGTTGACTTTCAACATGCGCTGTACAGAATTTGAAAGACAGGTCCCTAAAAACACTACACAGACGGGCTTTTCTGTAGTAATGAACTTTAGAGAGAACCCAGCATGAGCCAATTTGTCATAATCAAATATTCATGACATTTCAGTTCTATCACATTGGAACATGTGATAGTGATTTGACTAAATTGTTGCATTTAGCACAGATTATATCTAGATTATAGTAGTTCACTGAATTGGGCATGTGTCGAAATGTGCCGAGTCCTAAACACTACAAGCCTGTTGCTTCAAATCCAAAGCTCTGATGTAACAGATGACAAACTTTATCTGGCCATTGTCCTTCTTTTAAAGGAAACAGTGTTTTTATTTTTTGACCTAATTGATATTGTACATGCAAATGAACTCTCTTTCACTCTCACCATTGCTTACAGAAATATGACCAGTCTAATTACTGTCTGGATGATGGTGGTCAGGTTTTGTGTTCTTTTCTCTGCTTGGAGGAAGGATATGAACTGTGAATGTGTTTGACTCTCTTGATACTGTTTGAAAGAAGCCTCGATTTTACAATTTATATTGCTTACATTATTTGAGGGATAATCGTAGGGGCCCTACTTTTGGCTGTGTTGTACCCAGCTTTTATTTTTCATCCACTGTACTCAGACATTTCAATGGAAAAGGAGCGTGGAGTTTGTAGTATGTAATTACAGTCCTTGTGGTATCCTTGTTAATCTTTAAACAGTACATCCGTGATATAATAATACCATAGAATTTCACAAATCTATGCATTCAGATTACCATTGCATTAGAAAAAGCATCATGTTGTCGCAATACTCAGCCAGTGAACCACCAGTATACATGTCTGAAAACCTGGCGAGCATGACAAAGACTTTCAGGACCATTGGGGGTTTTGCACAAGGATTCGGTGGGCTCAAGGGCTTGTTTGTCCCCTTGCAGACTGTGGAATGGGCGCGTGGATGGATTTTGTGAAAAAAATGTCAACTGTTTAGCTATTTAAGATGTATTTACTCTTTGAAAATGTGGCAAATGTATTGCAGGACAGGAATAAAGATGTCAAGATCAAACTGCTTTGGTCCACTCGCCACCAAACTTTTGTTCTTAAGTTTGTGATTTGCTTCCCCCTGCAGGCTACTATGTGTATTCTGCCGTGAAGTTGAAGGACTGGGACAGCTTTGGTTTAATATTGCTTTTGTCTTATAATAAAAGCTGATGACATATATAGATATTCTTGATAAATGTTTTATATTTAACTGCTTATAAGGAAGAGTCCCAGTGTACAACAGCATGAGGCCTATATAATGTGAGAAAATACAGCTCTGATAAGGGGTTCAAAGGGCAATCATAAACCCTGTTTACACATGATTCTACCATAAAACACTGCAGTGACAACAAATTTAATATTGCACAACTGAACTTTAATGTGTAATGTGTAGTTTTTAAAACCCTTCAGGATGGTTAGATGTTAGAAGAAATTAAAATATTACATTTAAGTTATAGTGATAACAAGCGATAGGGCCCTACATTCATTAATGAAAACTGGGCGGTGACCATGTAGTGAATAAGGGAGCAGGCTTTCAAAAGAAGCCTTGGTTTAAAAAGAAAAAGTTTGATTGATGTGGGATTCACACTTGTTAGTTATTTGGCTTACTTTGCAACTGAATTCAATAAAAGTCAGCAATAGTGGGTCAGGCTTGTGTATTTCAGTCACCTCCAGCATCTGAAAAAGAAGGAAGGACTAAACAAGGAACATTGTATAGTATAAGAAAATCACTGAAGTGTATTACGTATTTCCCAGTTTTACATGAGTAAATGGTATCTATGATATTAAATTAGCTCAACTACAGGGAGTGCAGAATTATTAGGCAAATGAGTATTTTGTCCACATCATCCTCTTCATGCATGTTGTCTTACTCCAAGCTGTATAGGCTCGAAAGCCTACTACCAATTAAGCATATTAGGGGATGTGCATCTCTGTAATGAGAAGGGGTGTGGTCTAATGACATCAACACCCTATATCAGGTGTGCATAATTATTAGGCAACGTCCTTTCCTTTGGCAAAACGGGTCAAAAGAAGGACTTGACAGGCTCAGAAAAGTCAAAAATAGTGAGATATCTTGCAGAGGGATGCAGCAGTCTCAAAATTGCAAAGCTTCTGAAGCGTGATCATCGAACAATCAAGCGTTTCATTCAAAATAGTCAACAGGGTCACAAGAAGCGTGTGGAAAAACCAAGGCGCAAAATAACTGCCCATGAACTGAGAAAAGTCAAGCGTGCAGCTGCCAAGATGCCACTTGCCACCAGTTTGGCCATATTTCAGAGCAGCAACATCACTGGAGTGCCCAAAAGCACAAGGTGTGCAATACGCAGAGACATGGCCAAGGTAAGAAAGGCTGAAAGACGACCACCACTGAACAAGACACACAAGCTGAAACGTCAAGACTGGGCCAAGAAATATCTCAAGACTGGTTTTTCTAAGGTTTTATGGACTGATGAAATGAGAGTGAGTCTTGATGGGCCAGATGGATGGGCCGGATTGGTAAAGGGCAGAGAGCTCCAGTCCGACTCAGACGCCAGCAAGGTGGAGGTGGAGTACTGGTTTGGGCTGGTATCATCAAAGATGAGCTTGTGGGGCCTTTTCGGGATGAGGATGGAGTCAAGCTCAACTCCCAGTCCTACTGCCAGTTTCTGGAAGACACCTTCATCAAGCAGTGGTACAGGAAGAAGTCTGCATCCTTCAAGAAAAACATGATTTCCATGCAGGACAATGCTCCATCACACGCGTCCAAGTACTCCACAGCGTGGCTGGCAAGAAAGGGTATAAAAGAAGAAAAACTAATGACATGGCCACCTTGTTCACCTGATCTGAACCCCATTGAGAACCTGTGGTCCATCATCAAATGTGAGATTTACAAGGAGGGAAAACAGTACACCTCTCTGAACAGTGTCTGGGAGGCTGTGGTTGCTGCTGCACGCAATGTTGATGGTGAACAGATCAAAACACTGACAGAATCCATGGATGGCAGGCTTTTGAGTGTCCTTGCAAAGAAAGGTGGCTATATTGGTCGCTGATTTGTTTTTGTTTTGTTTTTGAATGTCAGAAATGTATATTTGTGAATGTGGAGATGTTATATTGGTTTCACTGGTAAAAATAAATAATTGAAATGGGTATATATTTGTTTTTTGTTAAGTTGCCTAATAATTATGCACAGTAATAGTCACCTGCACACACAGATATCCCCCTAAAATAGCTAAAACTAAAAACAAACTAAAAACTACTTCCAAAAACATTCAGCTTTGATATTAATTAGTTTTTTGGGTTCATTGAGAACATGGTTGTTGTTCAATAATAAAATTATTCCTCAAAAATACAACTTGCCTAATAATTCTGCACTCCCTATAAAGCAGAGCATTTGGAACTTATTTCTATTCTGTCACTACTGGAGTTGACTGTTATTTATATTAGTGCCACAGAGTCACCCATATGGTATGAATGAAATGATTTATTTGACAGTGATAAGTTAGTGTCATCACTAAATCAGGAAGCAGAAAGCAAGACACATGCTAGCAGATTGATCTAACAGTGACCCATGATGCAAGTCACTTCATGTTTTTATGCCTCTTCTTTAAGCCATGTAGAGTACTTATTGGTTTTCAGCACGGAAGATTTGCATACTCTCTCTTCCTGGCTTTCAAGGGTCATAAAAGATAAGAGGTTCTCGAAAAGCCATGACAGGCAGACATTCACAGGTCTGACACAGTCATACAGAGTGTTACTGATTGAAAAAAAAAGGTGGCATTTTCTTCTCAGAGAAACTTTAATCATGCCATACAGCGAAGATACGATTAAGAAAATGCTTCCTAAGGTAAGGAATGTTTCATTTATCGCTGGATCAGCGGCTGTAGTTTCATGTACAGATTTCTCCAGTGTTTGTTTGTTTTTTGTCTATTCTCCTTTTAATTTTTGTTATTTTATGTTTTGAAGATATATCTTCGGAAGTGTGTGGCTCATGAAATAAACGTGGCATTAACTTACTTCAGAAACCTTGTGCCCGTAATGGATAAATATGGTAAGGTTCACAGTCCAATGCTGCCGAACTTTGTAAACTCGGTGGAAAAAGGAACGTTGCATTGTAACAGTAACTGCCTTTGCTGTGTTTTGTACAGTTTACAATGATGGAACTACAAAGAACTTGATGAGCTTAACCGGAACCATTCCTGCCACGATTAATAGTAATAACATTCGCATTCCATTTTGTTCTCTTTCATAACAGAATAACTTCAAACAAAAAATATGAAAGGTTAAGAATCTCTCTGATTTTGATATCTTTCTCTTTGCCATTATACAAGATATAACATATAACATTCCTATTTGCCTGTGGATTGAGGAAACCTACCCCCAAACTGCTCCCATCTGCTATATCAGACCCACACAACAGATGATGATCCTCAGCGGAAAGTATATCTCCAGCAATGGTGAAGTCATGCTGCCTTACCTGCGAGAGTGGAAGAATGTGAGAATTGAAGCAATATTTGTTTTCGACAAAGCTGCATGTGGGGTTGATTAGGGGTTGATTTTGCTGGCACTGACACAATGTGGCTGCATAACTCTACAGCCAGAGCGCATGAAAGTGACCCTTTCCTTCTATTATTAGGGGGAGTGTGACCTAATGAGCCTTGTTCAGGTGATGGTTGCCGTGTTTGGAGAATTTCCTCCTGTGTGTATGAAGCCTTCTGCAGAGCCTGAGCAAGCCTCTTGTAAGTAGCACACACAAGCACGAAAGAAGCCTCTATGCTGTCAAAAACAACATCTGTGTCCTGATAAGATGGAGCCAATAATCGAGGAGCCGCCTGATTGAGTTTGAAAATACCTTTCACTTGTCAGAATGTCAGACATGATCATTATTTGATTAACGATATTTATTCTATTTGTTCAGGTTGGCTGCAGTTCCACAGACAACCAGAAGTATTTACAGATACAGATGGAAGTTTATATCTGTCTTTAACAAGAGAAGACGGGCAACCTTTTCAGCAAGAAAATGAAACTAATTGTTAGTATTTTGTGCAATTTGGCAACAGTTTGTGAGAGAAATGTTTTTGTCAGGTTTTCCCCCCATATTGTGGATATGGTATCTATTGACTGTGTGTTAAATAGTGAAGTCTTCAGATATGAAAAAGCATGCTGTATTTTTATATTTCAAATGATTTTCATCACAAATTAGCACCCTTTCATTTGATTTTGTGTGGTAGCAATAAACATTTTAACCACTGTCATTGCTTTACAAGTGCCTCATAAAGATGTTGCTCAACTGCATCAATATTTTCTGGGCTGTTTGGACTTTAGATGGGTGTGGTCCTCTGTCATTTTATAAAAGCCTGTCTTATTTTATAAACTGATATAAAATAGAAAAAAACTACCTCTGTCAATAGAATATAGGTATAAGCTTTTTTCATCAGTGTAAACACATACCCGGAAGACTCTGACTGAAATATAATCTTTTGTAAAAACTGACTGATTTATTCTGTTATTGAAAATAAATAGCTATGTTAAACCTGCATTGCTTGTTATTGTTGAAATAACTCTCATGGAATTGTAGTTCACTAACAAAACATTTGATTTTTGCCCATAATATTTAATATAGCAACTATAAATGGCTGAATATATATAGCCTATGTCTTCCTTGTCCTGCTAAAGAATATAAATGATGGCTAAATGTGTGATTGATGACTATAAGTATGATTTTGGGATACCACATAAAGTTGTGGTCAGAAGTTTCTATACACTCATCATGGGAATCATGGGAATTAGAGGCTTTGCATTTTTTTTAAGCTTAAACACACATGAACACATTTGAATTTATTTTGAATTTTCTCTAATCCATACTGGAGCAAAAGTATACATACAGGCTCACATATACGCATATATTTCCACTGATATTTGTTTAAATGTCCTAAGTTAAGTCAAGTGGCTTTTATTGTCATTTCCAACCATGTACAGTGGTACAGTACAGAGTGGTAGTGGTAGTGAGAGCCCGAATGCTCTGGTACCTCTTGCCAGAAGGCAGCAGGGT